CCCAGTCCTCCCTCCCTTTTCCCTTGTATCTCCTACACGTTTTGAGGCGCCTCAAAACTAGTTCCCAGCCCTCCCTCCCTTTTCCCTTGTATCTCCCACACCAAACGCCCCTCTTTCTCCATTCACACGGGACCCTTTGTTGCTCGCCCTCTGCCTTCTCCTACTCCCCCTCTGCTGCAGATGCAGGCGGGGTGGGCTCTGAGCCTCAACTTGGTGACTGTCACCATGGCGGAGTGGGATATGGTGACAGGACAGTTCCCCTACCCCTTCCTGCCCCCTCTGCCTTTTCCTACTCCCCCTCTGCTGCAGATGCAGACGGGGTGGGCTCTGAGCCTCAGCCAGTGGTGACAGTTTCCCCCCGGTCCCCCCACGGTCCCCCCACGGTTCCCCCACGGTCCCCTCATCTCCTCTCCGGTCCCCCGACGGTCCCAGTGGTGACCCTTCCCCCCCTTCCCACCACCATCCCCGAGAGCCCCCTCTGCTGGAAAGCAAGCGAGCGAGTGGCGCTAGATCGTCATGCTCCAGCCTCCAACTCCCCCATCCATTACCTCGCCCGTTCCCGCCCCCCCACTTCCCCCCCCCCTTTTCCCCCAGTGCCCCCTCTGCTGGAGCTACAGGCAGGGTTTTTGAGGCGCCTCAAAAATCGTTCCCGCCCCCCCTCTTCCCCCCCCCCTTTTCCCCCAGTGCCCCCTCTGCTGGAGCTGCAGGCAGGGTGGGGAGTGAGCCTCAGCGAGTGGAGCTAGATCCTCATGCTCCCAGCTCCCCCATCAGTTACCTTCCCCGTTCTCCCCCCCCCCACTCGCCCTCCCCCTTTCCCCAGTGCCCCCTCTGCTGGAGATGCAAGCAGGGTGGGGAGTGAGCCTCAGCGAGTGGCGCGCCGATGGCAACTGCGATGTGGCCACCGGGCTGGTGTGCGATGAGGGGGGGTTCGTCACCAGCATGTGAGTGCGATAGTTTTGAGTCGACTCAAGAATGCGGCCACCGGGCTGGCGTGCGATGAGGGGGGGGTTGTCACCAGCATGTGAGATAGTTCGTTGAGGCGCCTCAAAATATAGCTTGTTGAGGCGCCTCAGAAAGCACCTGTTGTATGGGCTCTGGGCTGGCTTGCGAAGAGGTGGGGTTTGTCATCAGCATGTCAATGAGATAGTATTTAGTTTTTTTCGGTGCCTCAGGAAGCACCTGTGATATGGGCTCTAGGCTGACGTGCGATGAGGGGGGGAGGGAGGGGAGGCGGGGGGGGGGTGTCGAGACTGTGTGAGTGATGCTAACGGAGTGAGTCTCCATGAGAAGTGTGCCGATGGCACCTGCAGCAAGGCCACTGGGCTGGCATGTGGTGAGAGGAGGGTCGCTATCAGCGTGTGAGAGAAGTTGGAGAAGTTTGGCTGATAAAGGCGAAGATAATGGAATGGTCATGCTCCGCACTCACTCTGCCGCTCGGCAATCACTCTGCCACTCAGCACTCACTCTGCCGCCCGGCACTCACTCTGTCGCTTGGCACTCACTCTGCCACTCGGCACTCACTCTGCCCCTCGGCACTCACTCTGCCGCTCGGCACTCACTCTGCCACTTGGCACTCACTCTGCCACTCGGCACTCACTCTGCTACTCTGTGGCACGCTATATGCTCCTCTAGCCCCCCTACTCTGCCCCCCCTCCCCTGGAACCCCTCCTCTGCCCCCCCCTCCTCTAGCCCCCTTCCCCTGCCCCCCCTCTCTTCCTCCCCTTCGCATTGCATGACCTTCACACTCGAGCAGGTGCCCTCTGGACTACCCGACCCCTTCCCCACTGGCCCACCGCGTTTGGCAGCCTCACCCATCCCATCTCATCCCCCTTCCCTGCCCCTCCCTGCTGCTGCCCTCTTCCTCTCATGCTGCACATCTTCCCCTCCCCTTCTACCGCCCCCCTCTCCTCTCCCATCTTTAACCTCCTCCCCCCTCATTGCAATGCAAGTCCCTCACACCCCAGCAAGTGCCCTCGGGACTGCCCAGGATCTTGCCGCAGCATGCTTGCTTTGATTCGTTCTGCGAAGGCTCAAGAAACAGCACCCTCCCCTCGGCTCCACTCCTCCTCCTCCCCCCTTCCCAAACCCCCCCCCCCCTCTCTCCGGTTACAGGCCCCTCACACCCAAGCAAGGGCCCTCATGCTGAAGGTGGTTTTGAGAATTCTAAGAAGTTACACCCAAGCAAGTGCCCTCGGGACTCCCACTGTATGACAGCAGGTTTCCTTTCCTGGCCGCCCTCCCCCTCTTCGCCCCCTCCACCCTCCATTGCAGGACTCTCACATCCCAGCAAGTGCCCTCGGGACTGCCGGGACCCTTCCCCACCGCCATTGGCAGCCTCACCCATCTCACAGAGCTGTAACTGTTGCACCCTCCTTTAACCCTCATTTCAGTGTGGTAACTCTTACAACCCCCTTTCCAATGTGGTAATTCTTACAACCCCCTTTCTGGTGTGGTAACTGTTACAACCCTCCTTCAACCCTGCTTCCGGTGTGGTAACTGTAACAACCCTCCTTCCGGTGTCGTAACTGTTGCACCCTCCCTCCGGTGTGGTAACTCTTACAACCCTCTTTCTGGAGTGGTAACTGTTGCAACCACCTTTTCTGCGTGGTAACTGTTACAGCCCTCCTTTCTGTGTGGTAACTGTTACAGCCCTCCTTTTTGTGCGGTAACTGTTACTACCCTGCTATTGTACGTTCTTTTTGTTGTATGTTTTGTTGGATGTTTTGTTATACGCTTTGGCATGCAACGAAAAACTTCCCTCTTCTTCCCTTCTCTTGTGCATTTCGATGTTATGCGGCAACCAACGGTCAGAGCGCTTGACCTGAGCACCGGAGGAGCTGCTTCCATTCCCGACTCCATCAGCAGTCTCCGCCGCCTCGCCGCCCTGTCAGTGCCTCGCCTCCCTATCAGCGCCACGCTTTAGCACCACCCTTCCTCCTGAGCAGGGATCTCCCATTCTCTTCTCTCGTTCACGCATCTATCCAACAGTGCTGTTCTGCAGGCATTTCTCCAGTGCATCGCTGGCTGGCAGGAGGACTTTTGAGGCGTTATTTTTGGCGCGTTTTGAGGCTTTTTTTGGGCCCTTTTTTTTTACATCTACCTGTCCTACTATGCTATTCTGCAGGCATCTCTCCGGTGCAGCACTGGCTGGCAGCATGCCCTCAGCCATTGCCCAGCTGACTGCACTCGCCTCCCTGTGAGCGCCCTTCTCGCCTCCCTGTGAGAGTCTCTCCACAGATATGTGCATCGTCTAGCCGTACACGCGCGGATCCACCCCCACAGCTCTGATGCACCCCCATGCTTTTCCTCCCTCTTCCCCCCTTGCCCCTCCCTCCTCGTCTTTTGGCTCGCTTCTTGACAGCAACATGACTGCCCCCCTCCCCACCCCCCAACCCCCCGTTCTCCCTCCTCCCCTGCAGCTCGCTTCTCGACAGCAACATGACTCCTTTTCCGCCTTCCTCTCAGCTCCCTCCTGCCTCGATTCCTCCTTCCCCAACCCCCATCCCCCCTCTTCCCCCTCCCCCCCGGCAGCTCTCTACTGGACAGCAACATGACTGGCTCCGTGCCAGCCTTCCTCTCGGCACTCACGCAGCTCACAGAACTGTACGTTGTCCAGCCAGAACTGGACAGAACTGTACACAGAGCTGTACGCGTTCTGGGATGTCCGTTTTAATGTGAGACGCTCTCTGGGATGTGGGTTCTGGGATATGGGCTCTGAGTTGGTTCTGATCCAACGCAGGCTTGTTTTTTAGCTCTGTGCTCTTGATGCTATGTGCTGTAATGCTGTGTGCTGTGCTCTGATACTGTGTGCTGTGATACCTTGTGTTCTGATACCATGTGCTCTGTTCCCGCGCCCACTCACTGCAGTGCCCTCTACAACGGGGCCTTCACTGGAGTCATCCCCGATACCATTGCCTCCCTCACAGCCCTTCAGCGCCTGTGAGTCTGACCCCCTCACCGCCCTTCAGCGCCTGTGAGTCTGAGTCTGAGCTGCTGAGAAAGAGAATATCAACTTCCAAATGCCGCAAGGAAAGGAGTTAGTCAAGCCGCGATTCTATAGTCACATCTCTCACATCCTCAAGAGTTACGACCTTGCAGCACAGCGCCTGTAGGTCTTTCTTTCATGGACTATGAGAAAATGTCCAGATTGGAGTCTACTTAGGCGACATTTTTCTCCCCATACCATCGCAATCCCCGCATCCCTGCAGCTCCTGTGAGCCTGCCTACTGCAGGCAAGGTTGCGGTTTTGAAAGTGGATAATTGAGTGTTGGTGTTGCCGTCGCCATTTCAAATGAAGGGCAAATGAGATACGAATAATTTCCGGTCAGTGGTCATTTGACCAACGGCAATTTTATAAGGCGCCTAAAAAATTGTTCCGGTTAGTTTTAGTTTCACATAACCATCGCCAGTTTGCGCCTCCAAAAACGTTCCGGTCAGGGGTCATGTGATGATTTTCCCTGTGATGAATGCGTGGCTGGCTTGAGCTCAGAACCCTTGGTTGATATTGGTGATGCCCTGTTGAGAGTTGCTTTCGTGTGATGTGCTTGAGATGTGCTTGTAATGTGCTTGAGTTGTGCTTGTGATGTGCTTGAGTTTTGCTTGTGATGTGCTTGAGTTGTGCGTCCACCCTTAAGTTACTCTCCCGTGTCTCTTCTCCCGTGTCTCTTCTCCCGTGTTTCTCCTCCTGTAACCCCCCAGCATGCTGGCTCACAACAACTTCACTGGCAGCATTCCCAACAGCCTCAGTGCATTGAGCAGCCTCGAGTACCTGTAAGCGCTGCTGTTTCACTCCATGCGGCGCTAGTTTTGAGGCGCCTCAAAACTAGACTCCAATCAAACCCAACAGCTTCAGTGCATTGAGCAGCCTTGAGTACCTGTAATGCTTCTGCTGATTCACTCCATGCGGCGCTTCTGTTTCACTCCATGCGGCGCTTCTGTTTCACTCCATGCGGCGCTGCTGTTTCATCTCGTGCTCGTTTGGATGGACTGTAGTGCGATCTCATCCACTCAACTGGTTCCTTCGTGTTAGATAACCTTAAATGCATCCACTCGCAACCTTCTTGCCTCTTCTCGAGCACTCTCTATTCTGTACTCGCCTGTCTCCTCCTCCTCCTCCTCCTCCTCCTCCTCCTCCTCCTCCTCCTCCTCCTCCTCCTCCTCCTCCTCCTCCTCCTCCTCCTCCTCCTCCTCCTCCTCCTCCTCCTCCTCCTCCTCGTTCTCCTCCTCCTCCTCCGGACCCCCTCCTTTATTACTGCCCCTCCTCATATAAACCTCAGCCCTTCATTCCCAACTTGCATGTCACCTTTCTCTTAATCCTCACTCTCTCCGCTCCGCTGCTCCTTTCTGCCCGCTCCCTTTTCTCTGCCTGTTCTCTCCGTCTCGTCATCCCTCACTCCATCCCCGTTCGCGTCTCCCTTCTCTCGTCGCCTTCTCCTCTCATCCTCGCTCGTCTGGCCCCTGTCCCTCCCACTGCTCGCAGGGCCATCGGGACCAACCTGCTCTCAGGCTCTCTCCCGGCTGCCCTTGCATCGCTACCCCTCCTTCAGTACCTGTATGCATCCTTCAGTACCTGTATGCATCCTTCAGTACCTGTATGCATCCTTCAGTACCTGTATGCATCCCCCAGTACCTGCATGCATCCTTCAGTACCTGTATGCATCCCCCAGTACCTGTATGCATCCCCCAGTACCTGCATGCATCCTTCAGTACCTGTATGCATCCCCCAGTACCTGCATGCATCCTTCAGTACCTGTATGCATCCCCCAGTACCTGCATGCATCCTTCAGAACCTGTATGCATCCCCCAGTACCTGCATGCATCCTTCAGTACCTGTATGCATCCCCCAGTACCTGCATGCATCCTTCAGTACCTGTATGCATCCCCCAGTACCTGCATGCATCCTTCAGTACCTGTATGCATCCCCCAGTACCTGCATACATCCTTCAGTACCTGTATGCATCCCCCAGTACCTGCATACATCCTTCAGTACCTGTATGCATCCCCCAGTACCTGCATGCATCCTTCAGTACCTGTATGCATCCCCCAGTACCTGCATGCATCCTTCAGTACCTGTATGCATCCCCCAGTACCTGCATGCATCCTTCAGTACCTGTATGCATCCCCCAGTACCTGCATGCATCCTTCAGTACCTGTATGCATCCCCCAGTACCTGCATGCATCCTTCAGTACCTGTATGCATCCCCCAGTACCTGTATGCATCCCCCAGTACCTGCATGCATCCTTCAGTACCTGTATGCATCCCCCAGTACCTGCATGCATCCTTCAGTACCTGTATGCATCCCCCAGTACCTGTATGCATCCTCCAGTACCTGCATGCATCCTTCAGTACCTGTATGCATCCCCCAGTACCTGCATGCATCCTTCAGTACCTGTATGCATCCCCCAGTACCTGCATGCATCCCCCAGTACCTGCATGCATCCTTCAGTACCTGTATGCATCCCCCAGTACCTGCATGCATCCTTCAGTACCTGTATGCATCCCCCAGTACCTGCATGCATCCTTCAGTACCTGTATGCATCCCCCAGTACCTGCTTGCATCCTTCAGTACCTGTATGCATCCCCCAGTACCTGCATGCATCCTTCAGTACCTGTATGCATCCCCCAGTACCTGCATGCATCCTTCAGTACCTGTATGCATCCCCCAGTACCTGCATGCATCCTTCAGTACCTGTATGCATCCCCCAGTACCTGCATGCATCCTTCAGTACCTGTATGCATCCCCCAGTACCTGCATGCATCCTTCAGTACCTGTATGCATCCCCCAGTACCTGCATGCATCCTTCAGTACCTGCATGCATCCCCCAGTACCTGCATGCATCCTTCAGTACCTGTATGCATCCCCCAGTACCTGCATGCATCCTTCAGTACCTGTATGCATCCCCCAGTACCTGCATACATCCTTCAGTACCTGTATGCATCCTTCAGTACCTGCATGCATCCTTCAGTACCTGTATGCATCCCCCAGTACCTGCATGCATCCTTCAGTACCTGTATGCATCCCCCAGTACCTGCATGCATCCTTCAGTACCTGTATGCATCCCCCAGTACCTGCATGCATCCTTCAGTACCTGTATGCATCCCCCAGTACCTGCATGCATCCTTCAGTACCTGCATGCATCCCCCAGTACCTGCATGCATCCTTCAGTACCTGTATGCATCCCCCAGTACCTGCATGCATCCTTCAGTACCTGTATGCATCCCCCAGTACCTGCATGCATCCTTCAGTACCTGTATGCATCCCCCAGTACCTGCATGCATCCTTCAGTACCTGTATGCATCCCCCAGTACCTGCATGCATCCTTCAGTACCTGTATGCATCCCCCAGTACCTGCATGCATCCTTCAGTACCTGTATGCATCCCCCAGTACCTGCATGCATCCTTCAGTACCTGTATGCATCCCCCAGTACCTGCATGCATCCTTCAGTACCTGTATGCATCCCCCAGTACCTGCATGCATCCTTCAGTACCTGCATGCATCCTTCAGTACCTGCATGCATCCTTCAGTACCTGCATGCATCCTTCAGTACCTGCATGCATCCTTCAGTACCTGTATGCATCCCCCAGTACCTGCATGCATCCTTCAGTACCTGTATGCATCCCCCAGTACCTGCATGCATCCTTCAGTACCTGCATGCATCCTTCAGTACCTGCATGCATCCTTCAGTACCTGCATGCATCCTTCAGTACCTGCATGCATCCTTCAGTACCTGCATGCATCCTTCAGTACCTGTATGCATCCCCCAGTACCTGCATGCATCCTTCAGTACCTGCATGCATCCTTCAGTACCTGCATGCATCCTTCAGTACCTGCATGCATCCTTCAGTACCTGTATGCATCGCTCAGCACCTGTATGCATCGCTACCTGGAGGCAAGTATGTCGAATCCAAATCTCTCCATGTGTATTTCGAGTTGAATATTCAAGGATCATGGTGCTCCTTGCTTGGATCATGGTGCTCCTTGCTTGGATCATGGTGCTCCTTGCTTGGATCACGGTGCTCCTTGCTTGCGTGCCCCACCGCCCCACTGCAGGGATGTGAGCGCTGCAAATCTCAAAGGGTCCATCCCGCCAGCGCTGGGCAGCTTGGGTCGGCTGCGAATGCTGTGAGTGCGCTTTCCAGGCAGAGGAAGACAGTATGAGTGTTTGAGGTGACTTTTGAGTCGACTGAAAAGTCTCCAGGCAGAGGTAGTAGAAAATATGGGTGTTTGGCCACTTCAGCCCAATGCACCAGATTCCGCATGCTGCGAATGCCACCCCGGCTTCGGCTGCGAATGCTTTGAGCGCGCTTTCCAGGCAGAGGTAGAAAGAAGCCACCGGCATTAGTTCCAGTTGTTTTTTTTTTAGAATTTTCACATGAGTGGGAAGCCGCTGGCAAGTTAGCGGAAGAAGCCACCAGCAACAGCCCGCCATGGCCTCGTTCTTGCTTCGATCTCGTCTGTTGGGTAGTATGAGTGTTTGGCCAATTGAGCCCAATGTACCACATCCACATTTCGCACCGCAACCCACCACATCGCATCGCATCACACCGCACTGCACCACATCACCCCATTGCGGGCAGGTCTCTGGGCAGCAACCACCTCACCGGCATCATCCCTACGTCCATCACTGGCCTCGCTGAGCTCACCCTCCTGTCAGTTTACCCCGATTCTGAATCCCTCTGACCATGCATCCCTCTGACCATGCATCCCTCCGTCCATGCATCCCTGCAGTCATCACTGCCCTCGCTGAACCCACCCTCCTGTCAGTTAACCCTCTCTATCTAGTGCTTCTTTCTCTCTCAGGCGTCGAGTAATGATTCACATATATAGTGCATGCGATGCGACATGAGTTGGACAAGTCTATTTTTGAGGCGCCTCAAAAATAGACTCCTGTGCATGCGATGCGACATGAGAGCGATCATCACTGTGCCGTGATGCCATCCACCTGCTCACATCCCCCCCATGCGCTCACATTCCCCCCCATGCGCTCACATTCCCCCCCATGCGCTCACATTCCCCCCCATGCGCTCACCCTCCCCCCCCATGCGGCCCCCCATTCCCCTCAAAAGCTATTTTTGAGGCGCCTCAAAAGCACATCCCTTAAATCCTTCATGCCACCCTAAAAGTCCTCAACCCCACACCCCTCCGCATGCAGCAATCTGGCCGGCAACAATCTCACCGGCTCCATTCCACCCACTATAAGCCTCCTCAATAAGCTCAGTGTCATGTGAGGGGGGGTGCCAAACCTTGATAAAATTCTGCTCGAATTTGTTGTTGCACGAGTTGTTTGAGTCGACTCAAAATACACTTGTTGCACGTCTCGACTCGAAATACACTTGTTGCACGTGTCGACTCGAAATACACTTGTTGTTGCACATGTCGACTCGAAATACACTTGTTGCACGTGTCGACTCGAAATACACTTGTTGTTGCACGTGTCGACTCGAAATACACTTGTTGTTGCACGTGTTTTTCCTTTAACCCACAATGAACGTGTAATTGGAAAACCTAACTCAGTAGCGTTTGTGTCGTGCGAGTTGACGGCTTCACAATGCGAGTTGACGCCTCGCTTTGACACGCCTTCACAATGAATGCAAGTTCATGCCTCGCTCTCCTATCTGATCTTGATTTTACAGAGGTTCCTTCCAGGTACCTCGTTTTCCAACCAAGAGATTTTTTAGAAGTCTAAAAAAACTCAATCTACATATCCTGCTTTTGATGCCATTTTAAGTTCTGCCACGTGTTTGTGAAGCTTTATCTTGTCCTCCCACCATCCTTTCTGCTGTCCCTCACTTCCATACCCCTCCGGCCCCCCTTCCCTCCCACCTCCCCCTCCCCCCACCCCCCCCAAGTGATCTCTCCTACAATCTCCTCTCAGGGCCCATCCCCGAAGCCCTCAGTGCCCTTCCAAACCTCTCGTCCATGTAACCATGTCTCCTCCATGTAACCGTCTCTCCTCCATGTAACCATCTCTCCTCCGTGTAACCATGTCTCCTGTTTCGCCGCCCACCCTGTTGCAGCCCGCTCTCCCCCCATGTGCATACAGCTCTCGCACAAATCATCTCTTTCCTGCCCGCCGTCCCTGACTGTTCTAAGAGTTTCAATGCGTGTTCCTTCCGCCCTTCCTGTATCATCTAACACAACATGCATCGCCCATCACGACATGCATCGCCCATCACGACATGCATCGCCCATCACGACATGCATCGCCCATCACAGCATGCATCGCCCATCACGACATGCATCGCCCTCTACTCTTGTGCGTCACAACCATGCTGACGTGGCAGCAATTTGGGCAACAACCAGCTCACAGGGCCATTCCCATCATCGCTTGCCAACCACGCCAGTGTCACTTTTATGTGAGTCCACATCAGCAATGTGCTTGTCCACGCCAGCAACT